TCTGTATATACTAACAATAAGTATATGTTTAAAGACATTTTACAATATTAAAAATTGAGTATTGATAGTGCAATATAAATAATTTAATTAGCAATCTATTTTTTTATTTTTTTAATTACTAAATTTATAATTAAAGTGAACAGATAAAAAACAAGATAGATGCAAGAGAAATAAAAAATAGATAGGTGTAGAGATAGTGGGAGTGTCTACCATGGAAGAAAATATTCAATGCAACGGTGATATCATGTTAGTCAGGGCTGACCCAAGGCCTAGGCAACTAAGTTGCTTATTTAGGGCCCCAAATTTTAGAGGCCCTCCAAAATATTTATTTCTTTAGTATAATAGGCCTAATTTTTTATTAAGAGAATAAGGGCCCGTACACAATATTAGAATTATTAGGGAAAAAATACATCTTTTAAAAACATTTGTAAAAAAGTTCATCCATTATTGTTAAAGTCTAAAATAATCGTTTTTCAATTTAAAAAGTTTTCTACCTATCTAAGGAAACCGATAAAAATAATGGGAAGATACAACAACTGTTTGCATTTATCTACCATTTGCGCCAGAGTTTTCACGATTTGAGGATAAAAATTTAAAATTTTCAAACGATACCCAAACATCATTCTTGGGTGTCAAAGAAACCTATGATTATTAAGGGTTTCATTGTGAATAACACACATCGTTGACTTCATTGGAATTTATTGAAAACGAGAGTTTGGTTACTATTACGCTAATGCCACATTGCATACACATATCATATGCATGGTTTGGTCACTGTAACGCTAATGTCACACTGCTTGTAAAATACATATATAGGGTCGGGCTACTGTGGGTATTATAATGTGACATCAATGTCTACTGTATATAGACAACATATGCATATTTTGGCACATGTAAAATATCATAGTGTAATCCAAGGATTGACACACTGCATATAGACACCATATACGACGTTTGCACATGAATGGTATAACATTGTGACTCTAATGTAACATTTCATATACAGATCATATAAAATTTCAAAAACACATGGTGAGTACCACACTGTGAAACCAATGTTATAATGCAACTATACATCATATGCATTATTTTTTCATAGTGTGGGCATCAAAAGTGTGATTCTAACGTTTCACTGCAAAACAAACATCATATGTAGTGTTTTGCACAAAGTATAGTATCATACAATGTGACTTAAATGTAACACTCCATAAACATAAAGAAAATAGGGGGAGAGAGTGAATAGGGAGAGGAGAGTAATAATGGGACAGAGAACGAGTTTGAAAGAAAAAATGGAGGAAGAGAGAGTGAGAGAGAGAGAGAGAGAGAGAGAAAAAAAAATAGGTTGAGAAAGAAAATAGGGAAAAAGTGACAGTAACGGTGAAATTCAAATAGAGAGAGAGAATAGAAAATCTTTTAAAAACTAATAGAATCCGGTTAATTATCTTTTCATTTAGGAAATCATTTAGTCAGTAAAATAAAATCAAAAAAAATAAGAAAATTTGAATGAAAAATGGAGATGTAGCTCAAAATTCAAACGCGTTGTCCCAAAAAAATAGAAAACTAAATCCCATAATTAACTACCTAAATTACCATCCATGAATAAAGGAAAAGAGTTGTTACGTAAATGAAATATTTAAAAAACGGTCAAAGTGTATCTGTTTACAAAACATTTACACAAAAAAAAGACTTATATACAAAAGATTTATATTAAGGTATTTTCTCACAAATAAGTAGTGTATAGAGTGCATTTTCACAATTTCCCCTTTTTATTTTGTATTTTAGATATGATTCAAATTTTTAGGGTCCAAATTTTAAAAGTTTAAATCAAAATCTAATTCTATTAAATTCAAAATTAATATTTACTTGGTTAAATCCAAATTTTAGAGGGCCTCCATAAAATTTACCCTTTAGTATAATAGGTCTTTTTTTTTAGATATGATTCAAATTTTTAGGGACCAAATTTTAATAATTCAAATCAATATATAATGTTTTAGATCCAAAATTACTGTTTTGTGTGAGCTTTAATTCTTTTTAGATGTGTTTACAGTTGTATTCCATTCACTTACATAAAAAATTTATATACATTATTTTGTTGTGGTGAACATATATAAAATTGGTTCCTTTTTTTTCTTAATATAAATTTTTAGTCCAAATAATTTATGCTTAAATTATCTACGTTATCAAAGTTTTATATTTCATTCGTAAACATAACTCATGGGTAAAAAATGATTATTTGTTATCTTACAGTAAATTACTTGTTCAAAACTTAAATTGATAAGATCTTATTTACGATCAACTAAAATTGAATGAATTAATTATATTATCTATTGAAAAAGATTTATTGTCAAAACTTGAATGTAAAAATTTGACCAATATTTTGCATTCAAAAAATTTTTAAAATAATTTTTAAATAAATAAAAAAATAAAATTATAATAATTAAAAATATAATATATTAATAGATAAAAATATTAATATGACCTCATATAAATTTTTTGCCTAGAGCCTCGCTTTACTTTGAGCCGCCTCTAATGTTAGCATTAATAAGATGGTAACACCAACATATTATAAAATCTTAAATGGGCAAAATAAACCCACTTTTGTAGTTATTGACTTATATGAAAGAAGTTGATAGTTATTAACTTACATGAACAAGTAGTTATTAGCTTGTATGAGTCCATTTTCTTATTTGTTTAAATATTATTGATTGGTGATACCATATCATCAATGCTGACGTGATATCACTGTTACAATAAATATTTTTTCCTAACGTAAGGGAGTGTATTAGTTTCGTTGATGTCTTTGAGTGGGATAAAAAAAAATTAGAATGATTTTATACCATTGAATTAAAATAGATAAAAATTAAATTAGTCATAACTATTTATGATTTTATAAGTTAAAAATTCAATTTTTTAACTATAATATTATATATATATATATATATATATATATATATTTTTTTTTTTTTCGATGCTTTGAATAGCGCAATTTCGTAAGGGATGAGGTAGATCATCCTTGCTTGTTTGTTAAAAAGGTGGATTCCGAGTATAATATGGTTTTGTAACTTTGTTAAAGTGTTTTTTTAATAATGTATTAAGATTCATAATAATATTCCCCCCCCCCCCCCTTTCTCTCTCTCTCCTCTAAGGAAAATATTGAATACCCGCTAAAGACGACATAAGAGTGTAGATCACACATAAAATGTTTTACATTTTCAATCAATTGTTATCATTTGTGAAAATGTCAAAAAATTTTCCAAGACAAATATACTTGTTGGTCCAATAAACAAGTGTTGGGATAATAAACACCATACGACAGTGTCACTTGATAATTTATAAATACAATATTTTCTCCCCCCCCCCCCCCCCCCCAACTTTGTTAAGCTAAAATCACTCATTTTTTTTGCATAAAATTCATATACTTTTTATGTCAATAATATTGACAGTTTCTTAGTATGGCCAACTATATTAAAAACAATTATGACTTAGTCATATTATCCATAAAAAATGATCTATTAACAGAATTCCAATATAAACATTTAATTCTCAATTTACTTCTCATTTTTCTATTTATATTTGTCTAATATTACAACTAGAAGTTGAACCCTCAACTTATAAAACTACAATAACGATTAAGATTGATCTAATTTCATCTATTTCGATCCAATTGTAAAAAATTCTTTTTCCCACTCAAAAATATAATTTTTTTGCACGACCCTTAATATAAGTCAACTCAATCAATACAATCATCAGACAACTATTTCTCTTCTATCTCCCCATCTTTTTTTTTCTTTTTTCACTTTAATTTTAAATTATGTAATATAAAAAAATAAAATATAAATTATTATATAATAAGATAAGTTGGAAATTGAACATACCCCCAAAATATCACATCACATCACCCAATTCTATCACATATATTAATTTGTAGTTTAACACAATTTTTATTTCATGTTTTGTCCATAAATAATAATATACACATGTTGAAAAAATTTTATCATGTTTAAAAATTTTGATGCTATTTTTAAGTAAAATAATAGGTAAAAATTAATTTTAAATAATATAATCAACCAAACGAAGAAATATCAATGTTTTGAAGGTTCGAAGCCCCGAATATCATGTTTCATTATGGGAAGATGTCTTCTAAATGTCTTTCATGGCCAAGGATCCCCTCTTAAAAGTTTTTCCCACGAGTTGTCGGGTGCATTGCCATCTTCAACAAAGTGCAATTTATGCCACTCTTCCATCTTCCCTCCAATTTCAAAACCTCAAAGTAACAGTACAAACCCATTCCTTTTCTGCTGTCTTCTTCCATTAACAATTCTCACAATTCCTTTTCTTCCTTCATCAATGTAACAAAGCATAAATTCCAAAGCCCATACTAATACCACCCCATACCTCACCAGTCACCAGATTCTCTTATCCTACTCCTACACCCTTTCTGCAAAACCGTAACCCACCAACAATGGCCCCCGTTGATCCCCACTCCGTCACAGACTCCACCCATCCTCTCACCACCCACATCTCACTCTCTCTCTACTTCAACTTCTCCTCCTCCCCCACCATCCTCTCTTCCGCCCTTCTCTCTCTCCCCACCCCCCACTCCGGCCCCATCACCCTCGACATTCGCTCTCTCTTCATATCCTTTGTCCTCGACCCCATTACTCAAACCCCTCTCCCATTCTATCTCTCCCGCACCACCAGCCCAGTCAAAGGCCAATATCTAACAATTGCTCTCTCTAACCAATCCAAATTTCTGATCGTCTCGTCAACAAGTCCTTCTAGTTCTGCTCTTCAATGGCTCTCACCGCCACAAACATTTAACAAATTGCATCCGTTTGTGTACACCCAATGCCATCCCATTCACGCCCGTTCAATTTTCCCGTGCCAGGACACCCCGGCGGCACGTGTATGTTATGCGGCAAAGCTAAACATTCCCCGTCAGTTGTCGGCCGTTATGGCTGCGCGACGAGTCGACCGCCGGGCTCCAATGGCATCGGAAAATGGGTTGGCATGTGATGATTCTCTCTGGTGTGGTGAAGGGAGAGTGGTGGAGGAGTTTGTCATGGAACAACCTATTCCCCCGTACCTTTTCGCTTTTGCGGTGGGTGAGTTGGGTTTCAGGGAAGTGGGGCCCAGAACGAGGGTTTATGCGGAGTCTGTGGCTGGAAAGTTGGACGCGGCGGCGACGGAGTTTGCCGGGATGGAGGATATGATTAGGGTCGGAGAGAGGTTGTTTGGGGCGTATGAGTGGGAGAGGTTTGATTTGTTGTTGTTGCCGCCGAGTTTTCCGTACGGTGGGATGCGAATCCGAGGATGGTGTTCTTGATGCCGACGGTGATCAAGGGAGATGGTGGTGGCGCACATGCGGTGGCGCATGACCTTGCTCATAGTTGGACTGGGAATTTGATTACTAACGAGACCAATGATCATCTTTGGTTGAATGAGGTAATCAGTATGGGTGCAGGATCTTGCACAATATAAACACGAGAACAAATTTTTTTTGTGGTGAACTCGAGTTAGTTAATCAAACGGTCACCTTAGATATTTGGAGCGGGTTGAGATCTGTTGGTGGCCTGGAAAGATAATGGGTGACTTTCGTGGATCAAAGGAGCGGTCCAGTGAGGCTGAGGAATGTTTCTGGAACAGAGAAAGACAAGTTAGAAGGGCGCCGGAGTGTTTTTCGGCGTATCCCCTCCGACGATCAAGTCAGTTTTTTAGAAAGGGAAAGAAGAAAACACTGAGTATAGATTTGAAAAAAAGTTTTTCTGTTGCATCCTGTCTTGCCTTTTGCGAGGAGTATTTTTACCTCAAAAACTCATGATTGTTGTCAGTGTGGTCAGTAGGTGATCATTAAATATGGGCAACGTGCACACTGATTCCTATGAGGAATGTCTTCTCTTAACTGCTCGGGACCCCGAGCAACCAATGCTGCATCATCCGCCTGCCGAATGTTTAATGAGCTTCCCTCGGCAAGGGTGTAATAAATGCCCAGTCTCAGGGACATTTATTACCATTCTCTTTCGAGCCTTACCGCATTAAATGTTGTCTCATCAACGAAATAGTCTAATTAAATGCTTGCTTTCCCAAGTCGTGTGTCAGCAAGGGCATCAGGTCTTTTTGTCTCTGATGTGACACAATATGCCACGCGCCCATTCCCTATTGGCTATGTCTTCTGCCTTCCTGTGCCTTCTGACACCAATTGTGTAAGACGAGGTCATGATGGCTAACCTAGCCTAGCCTAGACTAGCGACCTGTACATCAATAGCCTGTACAGGAGCAGAGAACGCCATCCTGGACTGGTACACCTCGGTACCAAGGGGAGTGGTACATGTAGGGACCGATGTACCCCATATCCGCCCCGAGGGATACGTGTCGGTACGTAAACGTACTAGGTGTCATTGATCCCTATGAACAGTACCTCGGGGAAGAGGGACTTGTGATCCGACGGGTACGTGTCGTGATTACAGTAATAAGAATTTACTGATGCCGAGGACACGTGTCTTCATCTTGGAGTATTTGAAAATGTCCCATCAACTGCCCCCCAGCCTTCGATCTCCTGACACCGAGGACACACGTCGTAAGGAGACGAAAGGTTTGCAACTACTCCAACTACTTCATCATTGCCTTCAGTCGCTTTCCCCTGTTTCGGAGGTTGTGCGCATTAAATGCGCCTCTTTGTGCTTCGTGCCCAAATTATGGGGATGGGTACTATATAAATGGGCTTCCTCTCTCCCTCTCTCATTTTACCATTTAGGATTTCTTCAGAGAGCCCTCGCCTGAAACCTCGCCGGAGATCCCTTTCCTTTTGCTGTCTACTGTCCAATCTTTCACCGAAGTCTCAAGGCCAGCAGACCCATCCTTGCTTCTGAACATTCTGGAGAAAGGAGTCACTTCAAGTTTTTAAGAAAAACTTCCTTTTACGTTCTGGTGAGTCCTTGTATCTTCCCTTTCTTTGCCCTCCGTCTCTTCTCTGCTTCTCGTTTTTATGTTCCTTTTGGTCTTCCGATAACTAGAGGCATTTCTGGTTGCCACTCAGCGACCAATCCTCGAGAAGCCTCCTTGGAGATCTTTGTGGAAAACCCCCCTCCTTTTTCACTTTTTATCACTTTTTGGAGATACCCCGTCGTCGCCCTGCCCCCGAGAATCCTCAGGCCAGTTCTTCGAGGCCAAGGAAGTATAAAGTGAAGGGAGGCGAGCAAATTAAAAGGTTTAGGGTCAAGTACAACATCCCCCCATATGTAGACATAGAGGATTATGATCCGATTTTACATTCCCGTACCCTCGGGGCCGAGGATGAGATGTCATTTTATACCAAAGCCGTCATAGAGGGCGGAATTAGGTTCCCTCTGCCCCATCTACTCCTCCAGTTCCTCTCCCATTTCCACCTCTTCCCCGGACAGTGTTGCCTTAATGTCTTCAAAATAATTATGAGAGTCTTAGAGCTCAACAAGTGTCTCGGGGTAAATGTTGGGCTGAACGATATCCTCTTTTGCTACTCCCTCTTGAGAGTCATGCCTCAACAAAACTTCTACCTCAAAGTCAGGGACCCATCCATGTACCTCGTAACTCACCTTCCCGACTCGGACAAGGGGTACAAGGATGACCTACTCATCTTCAAGGGATCTTGGCAGAGGGGTGCCGGTCCTGAGTACAACGGCTTGTTATGCCCTTTGGAATGGAGAACGACAAGTACGTCGGCTTCTTCGGGTCTATTATTTTGTTCTTGAGATTTTTTAGAAGTGTTCATGACTCCCTCCCCTCTCTTTTTGTGTGTGCAGACGTCTCCACTCGGGAAATAGCTCCTCCACCTCGGTCCTTGGTGAACTTTGCCAACCTAGTCATTGTTTGGAGATTTACTGGTGACAACGGGTTCGGCCGGGCTGTCCACATCCTCCTGAATTACACTCTCGGATATAAAAAATTCTCACAGCTTCCCCAGCCTTTCGAGCCTTCTTGGTGGTCTGAATTCTTCGATCAGATGGTGAGGCAAGAGGACGAGGAGAATTTGGAGGAAGACCCCGACCGGGCTACGGAGGCAGAAGTAGAGGGTGAAGTTGACAAGCTCGGGGTTAGAGAGGATTTGGTTCCTTCGCACGCCAAGGTGGGGACTTCAGGGAGAGATTCGTGGCCTGACTTTCAAATCCTGCAATCTCTAGACGCCGATGACACCCTCGAGATAGCTATATCCAACACGCCCCGCATTGATCTAGGGTTCTTGAGGTAGAGGCAAGCCCTCGCTACCAGGCGGGGGCATGGGTCAACCAGCGGGGCCCCACCTACAGGGACCAGCGCCACCCCACCTTCAAGGGCCATTGGTCGGGGTCAAGTGCGTGACCGAGACCCTCAAGTCGAGGTGGAGAGAAGGATTAAACAGAGGCACGATGGCCTGGGCAGGGGATCTAGGGCCCCCTCCGCTCAGCAGCAAAGCGGGAGAGGCCGTGGGTTACCTCCTCCTCTACAGCTGCAACAGAGGCAACAACAACAGCAACAGCAGCAGGGGCAGACTCCCTCTCCCCTTCCGCAGACGGTGGAAGCCGCGGAGTGGAATCCCTGGGCCACTGATCACATGAACCAAGTGATCAGGGTTGACGACTCCATTTTGCAAGACCCCCATGTTGCTAACGCAGTGAGTGAGACGCTGCACTTCGAGGCCGACATGGTGGCTCATAGGGGGCGATCAACGAACGTGTTGTTTCGCTCTATCATTCAGAATTCCCTGGTGATAAATTCATCTTTGCTTCAGTCCTTTCTAGCCGTTTTTCTTTTTATTGACGAGCCTTTTCTTTTGCAGGCCACCCAACAGATTTCCATAATTACGGTGCGGTATCATGTGACTAGGATAGACCTCCAGCGGGTTCGAGAGCAGAATGAAGAAGCCGAGGGAGCCCTAACCAGTGCTAAGGAGGATGTAGCTGCCAGGGATTCCACCCTCGCGGGGCAGGCTGCTTAGATCGAACAACTCCTCAAGGATGCCGAGTTGGCGAAGATCGGCGCTGAAAAGCTAAGTGCTGCCCTGGCCGACGCTGAGAGGAGGATTACAGAGCAGACGCAGCGGCTCTCTGCGGTAGAGGAGAGGGCTGTCGGTTCAAAGGATAGTTGTCTAGCTCTGACCCAGGAGCTGGACAGGCTCAGGGCTGAGATAGACAGTAGGAAGTCTGAAGAACAACTCCGAGAGGAATTCGCCGATGACGTACTACCTGCTCTTGAGGAAAATAGCTGAGAGTTCTTCAAGAAAGGATGGGACGAGGCGCTCCGATCTGCCGGGATCCCTCCAGACTCCCCGCTCTTCCAGATGCACAACTACGTGCATTCGGCTGAGATAGAACAGGCCGAGGCCAAAAGTGCTGCCGAGGATGCGACTCCAATGCCGATGCAAGTTTTGGCAGACCCGTCTGAGGTGGTGATTCTAGTCCCATTAGAGGCCTTGCTGGGCTCGACACCTAACCACAATATTCCTGAGGCTCCTGCTGTCGCTGATTCGGTCTTATCCCCTCTTGCCCCCGAAGCTACTAAACCTTTCTGTGTTGATTCGCCCTCCAGTGATGTCTTGGAGATGCCCAGGGCCAGATGAAGGCTTTTTCTCAACCTTACCCTTCTAGGAGGCTTGCTCATGTTTTTGCTTCGGAGGCAGGAGTCCTCGGACTCTGTCCCCAGGGCCTTACCCTTCTAAGAGGCTTGCTCCTGTTTTTGCTTCGGGGGCAGGAGTCCTCGGACTCTGTCCCCAGGGCCTTACCCTTCTAGGAGGCTTGCTCTTGTTTTTTCTTCGGGGGCAGGAGTTCTCGGACTCTGTCTCCAGGGCCTTACCCTTATAACTTAACCATTGGCAAGCACTGAAGGAAATAATACTTCAAAAATAGTATTTCTTTAGATTCATCACATTCCAAGGTCGTATTACAAGTTTTCCTTCCATATCTTCTAATCTATATGACCCGGAGCCTCCGATGGATATCATTTTGTAGGGCCCTGCCCAGTTAAGTCCCATTTTTCCTTCTACTGGGTCACGGGTATTGGCCGTTATCCTTCTGTGGACCAGATCGCCGATTTGGAACTCTCGCGCCTTGACCTTTTTGTTGTGAAGTTGGAAAATCTTTTCCTGATATTTGGCTACTCTCAAGGCGGCCATCTCCCTTCTTTCCTCCGCTAGATCCAAATCCAATCGAAGTTGACGGTCATTTCCCCCTGCGTTGAAAGCTTGCGTCCTTATGGTCGGGAGCCCTACTTCTAGAGGTATGATTGCTTCCATTCCGTAAGCCAGGGAGTAAGGGGTTTCTCCTATCGAGAACCGAGGGATGGTCCTATACGCCCATAAAATGTTCAATAGCTCAT